TACGTCTTGGGGATTCAATGTGCGGCACAGTGACTAGAGTTGATAATAACAGATTGTATGTTTGAAAGTTGTTAAGAGCAAATCTTAAAGCTTAGAATAAGGGGGAGAAATGTGTAATAATGTGTGGTGGCGGATATTAACTAGACCTACTGTGCTGACCATCTCGCAGTATGTATAAATAGAAATGATTTTGTTGTGCACATGAAAGTTATGGCTGGTTCTCAGGTTTGAGCACCCGCCAGGACTGAAGGGTCTGTCAGATTGGGTGACCCTGACCCTTGGGCCCTCACCGTACACTTCTCAGTGGTCAGAGGGCTCTGGCGGAAGTGGCCGCCTTCAAGGGACTGAAGTTGGGGCCATTTTAAACTGTGTTGTGGCTGATGAAATGTTCCGCTCTGTGGGGAAAAGCAGCAGTATCCATCCAAGTTCATGACAATGTCAGGAACATGGTTAATGAACAAACTAAACAGCTATTATTTGCCCAGGTTAGAAACTTCATGATCATTTTAGACCCTTTCCTTCTCATTCCTGTAATTCTTTGGCCTTCCCCCCTCCACGTCCTGGAATTCTCCAGTCCACCGAATGCTCCTGCAGGCAAGGGCCTGAGGCAGACAGGCCGCACCCTGGGCTGCTCAGGGACCCCTGCTGGCGGCCACTGCCTTCCACAGCCTCTCAGTTCACTCAGATCTGGTCAGTCTGTCCCACCTCCCCGGCCCAGCCTGTGTTCACCACCCTGCCACTGCCCACTCCCTCCCATCTCTCACCGGACAGCCGGCACTGCCCAGCAGGTGTTCCCACAGATGCCCCTTGGGTACAGCCAGGTTGCAGCCTTGCCCTCAGTGGGGCATCCAGGGCCCTCACAACCTCCGGAGACCTCTCCTCCCCACCCGACCCCTACCTGGACTGGGTCACCCTGGCTCTGCCCGGGAACCCTACCCCCCTTTGCCTGACAAGGAGGTTGGGCTTCTGGCTGGGTGCCCGACACTCGTGCCACTTGGAAGCTTCACTGTCACTAGTCAGTGTTGTGGGTGCGAAGGACTTTGGCATCTGCACCCCCTGCTCCCAGAGGGACAGGGGCCGTGTCATGGCGAGATGTGGCAGTGACAGGTGCTTCGGGGCTCAGCCAGACCCCATGAACTGGAATCATACCAACTGCTGTGTGACCTTGGGTGAATCATTTCACCCGTGTCTCAGATGCCTCACCTAAAGGACATCCACCATCCATGGTGTCACAGGAGTAAGTGAAGAAGTAAAATGCTCCTGGTACCCAGTGTCGTTGGCAGGTCTCACTTTTACACCCTGGTGTCTGCGTTCCTACAGGTTCTTGTTGGCCATGTGTTGGCTGAAGAAGGCCCTGGAAGCCGAGCAGCCTGTGTGTACAAGGGTCCTGTCGCTAGAGCCTGGCACGGTGACTGTCCCAGCGTTAACAGTGAAGGAGAAGGAGTCCACAGCACCTGCCTCCCGCTCCCCAGCTCTTAGAGGCGGCCACCGCCAGGGATGACGGAGACACAACAAAGGCCTTTGAGTCACACAGAGGGGGGAAAACCACTGTAATCTTTTTCCAAATTGTGTTATTTTAAATGCCCTGGGCGGATGCCCATGTGTGCAAGGACACTTGGCTGGGCCAGAGGCGCTTTGTTCCCTGAAAGGCCCCATTGTGACCCCGACTGGTCCAAGTGATCCCCGGAACAACAGGCCCTTGTGTGGCCCCACAGGCGGCTCTCGGCCCATGGCTGGCAGGCGAGCCTTTCTCTGTCGAAGGCCAGCACAGGGAGGCTGCGCGGTTCTGATGGTGGTGCTCTTTAGTTTCGTTCTAGAATGTCGATGAGGCCCAGCTCCTATAAACTGTCCTCTCCAGAAGGGCGTGTCCGGTGGGGACCAACGTGAGCAGGAGGGACGATCGGGTTTCCCACGGGAAGCCCCCAGGCCACCCTGCCCTGCTCCCAGAGGTCTCCCGGGGCGGGGGGGATCCAGAGCCCCACGGAGCAAGGGGCCACGGCCACCAAAGTCACGCGAGGATCTCCACCCAGCTGGATTCGATCCGCCGCCATCTCGCTGTCCTCTGGGGTGCGCACCCTCACCACACCCTGTGGCGACCATGGTTGGTTCCGCTCTGAAAGCTGCAGCTCTGGGTCCCACTGCAGACGTCAGCTTCTTATTCACCTTCTTTACAAAGCGTCGGGCCTTTACAAAGCCTGGGTGGGCCGTTGGCTTTGTGGGGGCTGCGAGCGGAGCTCACTGGCCGCCTGGACCGGCGTGGTAAGCTGGCAGCTCCGAGCAGCCAGCCCCTTTCAGTAAGACAACTGACTCCAGAACCTGGGCCCAGCACATGGCCTCCTGCCAACCCTCCCACTGGTCGGCCTGTCCCTGAAGGCCCCTGCCTGCTGGCATCAGGCCCGCTACAGGGTTTCCCCTGTCACTTCCCAAGGGGCTGGAGGGCAGGCCCGGTGAGGGTAGCCTGGGCCCTGAAGGCGGTGGGTGAGCACAGGGCTCCCAGGGCAGGAGCAGCACCTGCGTGCAGCTCTCTCTGCGCACCAGCTGGGTGTTCCCTCGCTTGTAAAGCGAGGTCATCTGCCGTGGCCACTGGGAGGATGACAGGACACCGTGTGTGGGCGTTGGTGCGACCTGTCCTTTGGTTCACGTCAGGGCCACCAAGCAGGCAACCTCTCAGGAATGCCCCACCTGCCGTTGGAGTGGCACCAAAATATGCCCCCAAGGAGGTTCCCTCCTACCCAAGACCCAGAAGCAGAAAGGGAAGGCATGGTGGCCACAATGGGGGGCAGACACCTTCCCACACCTTGGGGACCAGTGTCCCAGCACACAGTAGGTGCTCAGTCAATGCTCATTCTTTGCTGAGACCTGTCCATCGACCAGTATTTGGACCTGAAAAACATTTCCAAAGTAGCTGGATGCAAAGGAGTTGAGCCAGAGATGCATGGGGTGAGGGAGCAGGGCATAGGGTGGTCTGGGTGGAAGGAAACTGAAGCCAGGAGGGCATTCGTGCGGCTGCCTCCCCATTAACATCCTATGCAAGTCGGATGCGAAACAAAGGCTAAATGAGACTGCGAAATTAACTCAGGATGGGAGGAAGGAGAGTTGTGGGAACCCTCTGTAAAGCCTTGGGCTACTTAAGGCTTCCACAGTTGGACCCATTTGCAACTGAAAAAGATAATAGAGAAAGATTCTATCAAAGTTTCTTTAAAAAGTAGGATTAAAATTTTGAAATCTTGAAAAATTCAGCTAAGCTTTTCACTTCCCCCCCCCCCACCCCCCTTTACTTGTTATAGAGAGAGAGGAAGTGAGAGGGAGAGAGATAGAAACATCGATGAGAAAGAACACGGATTGGTCGCCTCCTGCATGGCCCCCACTGGGGATCAGGCCCACAACCTGAGCATGTGCCCTGACTAGGAATTGAACTGGCGACCTCTTGGTGCTGGGCTGACGCTCAACCCCTGAGCCACACCGGCCGGCCCACGTCCCTTTCTGGATGGGGCAGGAATGAGGCTGTTGGCATGTGGTGCGGGCTCACTGGCAGTTCTGTTCAAGGTTTCCCCCAACCATTTGCGTGGAAACATCGCTGGACAAGTGACAAACTTCCTTTTGTTTCTTAATCTGCACTTTAAATTTTCAGGATATAGTCCCAATCAAGCCTTTGCTCCTTCCCGGCCGGGTGGCTCAGTTGGTCCTGGACACCCAGAGGTAGCAGATTCCATCCCAGGTTGGGGCACGGACAGAGGCAACCGACAGATGTTCCTCTTATATGAATGTTTCTCTCTCCCCCTTCTTTTCTCTAAAATTAATAAAAAAATATATCCTTAGGTGAGGATTAAAAACAACAACAACAACAACAAAAAAAACCTCTGCTCCTAATTTACTATAAGTATTTTACCTACATTTTGTGTTCAGTGGACTCACTAGAAGTGCCCCTTTTCTGCTAGCATTACCCTGGGATAACCAAAAAAACGGAAGATACACTGAGACCAATTCAGTCATGGGTCCCCACGTTGGAGGGGAAGTAGAACCTCTACCGGAAGCCTGCCTTTGCCGAGCCTCTGCCTGTGCAGTGCCGTGGCCGAGAGCTGGCCGGTGCTGGAGAACCTCTTCTGGTTCCCGTCCGAAATCCACCCGCTTCTTTGGGCCACAGGACAAAGGAGCGTTTGCTAATGAGAGCTGGCTTTCCGGAGTCCTAACAGAGCCCTCCTTCCCAACCTCCTGTCCTTTCAGCCCAGCCGTCTCATGCCCACGACACGGCGGCCACCACTCGCCACCCTTCGCCCTGCAGTCCAGCCCTCGCTCTCTCCTAGGAAGTGGCCCAGGGAGATTCTAAGAACAGTTTACCAGCCACATCCCTGACTGGAGCAGAGCCAGCGCGCTCTGCCCAGAGCACTTCTCGGAGAATGAGAACCAGCTTCTGCGTCTTGTTTTCTTTGGCTTTAAGACTTTCTAACTGAGCACAGACCCTTGTCTTGCAGGAAAAAGAATGAGAGCCTCGGGCTGGTACTTGGGGAGGGTCCAGGGAGGGTGAAGCCACCCTGGCAGATGCCCTGGTAGCTGGGAGGGGGGTGCCCAATGCCAGGCCCTCTGAGAGGACAGTGTGGAGACCAAGCAACACCTGTCACTCGAACTGCTGTTCAATGCTGCCTCTGGAGTCGCTGGGCCAAGGACCCTCGGAAAGAAGCTGACATGATGGCATTCCCGATACAAAAGACACCCAGAAGACTACTGCACATAAAGGCGCTTTATGAAGTGTCTCAGAGGTTTATCATCTTCCACTGGGGACATCTGCAAATATTTGTTGGGTGAGTTTTACCCCCATGATGGGTAGAATCTCCATGAAGACATAGAAACAGGCTGCGAGATGGGTGCTCAGAAAGCCCGGAAAATCCCAAGGGAGTTCGAAAGATCCATCCAGTCAGCAGGGGGCCTTTGGTTCAGGGTCTCTCAGCTCACAGCCCCCACTTCCCACCCCCACCATGCCCCCCACCCTCCCTCCCCCTACCCCTGGCAAAAAAAACCACATAGGAAATGACCCAAGAAAGACAGCCCTCATTGGAGGCTAACGGTAGCTGGCCCCCAACCTGACACGAAGGTCTATGGGACAGTAAACAGACAGAGCGTTGCTTTTTTTCGGTTTTTTTTCTTTCTTCCACCACGGAGAGCAGGCCTGCACTCTAGAAAGTTATGCTGGAAGGTGGGCTGATCCATGAACACCATCAGGGTGCTGGGCTAAAGTTCTTCCTCTGCTCTATGAAGACTTCCATCGGAGTAAAGAAAACACAGCGTGGACCACGTACAGCAGAGTGGCTACGTATGAGAACACCTGAAACCGAGACAAGCGACCATTAGCGGGCACGCATGGGCCAGGGCAGGGTAGGCACTCGTCCGGGACGGCAGGCCTGGCGTGCATGGCCGGCCGCTGCTTCCCACCGGCGTGACACTCCTCCTCGCTGAGCCCAGCCGTGGCCCTGGAAGGCTTTCAGCACAGGGCTGACCGGACAACCCTCTGGACTTGGTGTGAAGGTCAACTATCTACGTCCTCACGTGATCATGCGGTGCCACCAGCTGGAAACGGGGCCTCAGAACAGGAGTATCAGCCACTCTCCCTGGGAAACTTCCCTCCACCCCAGGAAGACCGAGTCCACCAGCGGTGGCCCCAGCAGCCTCGGCTAAGAAATGCAAACACGTGGGTTTGCTGGCTCTGGTCAAGGGCTCGATGCTGCCTGGACATCCTCAGGCCCCGTCAGAACTGTATCTGTGTCACAGGCCGGGTGAGGGGGCCACGCTCGCAGGCAGTGAGGGGCAGGGACACAGAGGAGGGATCTTGAGCTTTTGCATAAAAGCTGCTGGGAAGACCCAGTCAGCCACGGTGGCGCTGGAAACGAAGGCCCAGATGTGTGGCGATTGGCTGCTTGATGGTGTCACGCCCCCGACTTTTTCACTGGGCACCATTTATTCCTATCACCCTACTCAGGCGGTTGGCCTCCCTGACGGCTGCCTGCCCCACGTCAACTCTCTGCACCTGGTTTTGTGACCTTGGGCTCAGGGTCAAGCATTCCCAAGCCAGGCACCGCATTTAGGGTGGCCACGCTTCCCTGCCTTTGGAAAATGCCCATAAACAGCAGCGGCACGGTGCTGCGCTGTCCCCGGCTCCACACCTGGGCGGACCCTTGGGCCTCGCTGGCCAGAGGCGATGAGTAAGCCGGGTTACTTAATAACAAATGTAAGAGAACTCATCCGGGGACTCCTAAGTACCGTGTCGGGAAGGATTCGTCATACATGTGTGAGTAGCCCCCGAACACCACCTCCCCCAGCAGCAGGGGCCAGTTCTCCTTCTGGGCAATTCCAGACCCATGAGAACCTCAGCAGAAGCACCTCTACAGTCCCTGTGGGAACAGGAAGCAGACATATTTTCCAAGTGAGGCCAAGAAATGGCACACTGGGGACACAGAGCCAGGGACATGGAACCTTCTTTAGCTTTCAGAAACGCCTGTCCCCAAATGGCTGCCGTCAGTGCCTGCAGCCAGACCCAGAAGCCTCCAGATTTCCACAGAAAGTTCCTGCTGCCTTCAGTCGGCCCAGCAATCCCAGCAGGCCGAAGGCCAGGGGTGGGCAGGCCCTGAGATGCCTCCCACACCCCCGGACCGGCCGCCTCCTGACCGTCTGGAGGACAGGCTCTAGTTGGTCCGGTCTGGGGCTAAGTCCCGGCAACCATGGCTCCTCCTGCACTGTGCCCCGATGGCACTGCGTCCGGCAGATGGGTGACCGCGGGGTGGTCTCAGCCCAGTGCTGTCTGCCCGCAGAAGACACTTTCATTGGGCTCCTGGCCCTGCTGGCTTTGCCCGGGCACACTCGTGGTCCTCCACTTAACTAACAAAACTGTGGGGACATGATCAGTCACGGAGTGAACACCATGCTGGTGTGGTCTTCCGTGGAATCCTATGTGGCAGAGAATGAACGCTCCCTCTCAGCCAACCGTGCAGGCGGCCTCACCAGCGTGAGGTTGAGGAAGAAGCCAAAGAAACACAGCACAACTCCACTCGCAGGGACTCAAAGCAGACGGAACTGACCGGGGCAGCTGGATGTCAGGACGAGAAGGACTCTGGGAGGTGTCTGTCCTGTTCTATTTCACGATCAGGGTGGTTACACAGACCGACTGCTCGGCGGGAGCCAGGAGGCCAAGTGGCCGGACTCACGCTCCAACCTGCTGCGAGTGTGGGCGGCAGCACCTGGCCTGGACCCCAGGCCCCAGCGGTTCTACGATCTCGGACCATGTTCTCCACACTCAGTGCCCTGGCTCTCCACCTGTGACATGGGTGTAACAGCAGTGCCTGCGTCCTGGGGCTGCTGCGAGGGTCAGTGAACTGTCACAGAGAGCTCAGACACGTCTCCTCACACACAGCCCCCACAGGGCCCCAGCACAGACCCCCGGCCAGCGCGACACTGACTGATGGCCGGGCGAGTCCTGGGCACATCTCACTTTCCTTTGCTTCCTCAGAAATGAGGGGAAGGTTGAGTTCACTCAGAAGTTAGTGAGCCCAGCTGGTGTGGCTCAGTGGATTGAGCATCATCCCGTGGACTGAGAGGTCCCAGTTTGATTCCCTGTCAGGCAAGTGCCCGGGTTGCGGGCTCGATCCCCAGTAGGGGGCGTGCAGGAGGCAGCCAGTCAATGCATCTCTCTCACACCAATGTTTCTCTCTCTCTCTCTAAAACATAAAAACATTAAGAGAAGAAAGTTAGTGAGCTAACACCACAGCAAGGGCCTGGGCGGTGGAGCTGGCAGAGGGAGGCTGGCAGGCACTCACCACGGCGGAGATGTTCTCGTGGTAGCTCTTGTAGGTGAAGCCGTCATGCATCAGGATGGTGGCCAGAGCTTCCAGGACCGAGGCGCTGAGGTAGAACAGGGCGGCCACACAGTGGTAGGCTGCGTCCTGCAGGGTCAGAAAGGGCATCAGAGAGGGGTCCTGGGCGTGGACATGCGGGCAGCTGTGGTCCAGCAGGCTGTCCATGCCCCCTGTCCCCACCTGGCATGGCTTCGGTCCCCTTATCCACCCATCGCCACGCCCGCCAGCCCCCGCCGCACGCACTGTCTGGTCAGCACTTCCCAGCGAGGTTTTCCTCACTGGTTTGGGGTCAGAGCAAGGACGTGGATGAGGAAGGGACACTGCTTTCCCTTGAGGTGGGATCAAGGAAGAGGTGGGGGCGGCGAGAGCACTCAGCCTTTAACACAGACACTGAACCTGAGAAGGGTCACACGTGGTCACGGTCCCAGTTAGGGTGTGACCTTAGTGGCCAGTGCAGGCCAGAGAGGCCCAGGCCATTTCCACTATTGTTTTGTTTTGCTTTGTGGTTCAATTTGCAGGGCAAGTGGGGGCTGTACAGGTATGTTTAAGGCAAACAGGAGCTTTGAGAATCTGTCATTTGGAAGTGACTTCAACGTTTCTACAGGAGGCTTTTTGAGAGAGCGGGGCCTGGCCAAATCTGCTCCCCTTCCGGGGCAGGCGATGGCAGGGGTTTCATGTGTGAGTTTTACCCTTGTCATGAGCCTCGAGACAAAACTCATGCGGATGGAGACCATAGGTCACCTCTCGCCCTGTCCAAGTCCCTCCCTGGTGACCCTGCTTTAGAAGACAGAACAGAGCTGGGCAGAAACATGGCCTCACTGGGCAGCAAAGGCAAACGCCCAGGACAAGGTGGAAACCAGCCCCCCTGGAGGACAGGAGGTGCCACTAGGCACCTGGCAGGTGCAGGCAGCATGGGCAGGGGCTGGGCTGCTGGTTCCCTGCAGAAGGCAGTCATGGAAGACAAAGCAGAGTAGGCCCAGCGACATTCAGGCAGTGACCCTCAGCCCTGCCTCCTCCTGACCGGGCCACAGGGAGCCCTGGACACATGGACAGCTGGGCGCTGAAGGCCTGGCCAGCTTGACCTTAGAACATGGGTGGGAGACGCCTGCGGGGCAGCCTCAGCCAGCAGGGAAAAGCCAGCCTTCCAAGGAAGAGGGTCCAACACTGCCCACCCCTCAGACATCCCAAGCTGAGACTCACCAGGGTGATCCAGGAAGCCTCCCCGCCGTGGGCACCAATTATATACAGGATGAGCAGGGTCGTGGTGGCCACGAAGCAGAACACAGACACGAACATCACCCATCCCTGGATCAACGGCAGGGGCACCAGCGACGAGGCGATCAGGATCCACACCAGGCCCCCAAAGACCTGCAGAGGGATCATGGAGGGAGGGTTGAGCCTGGGGCAGGAAGGGCCAGACCTGGAGGTCCCGCTGGGTGGAAAATGGAAGGGAGGCTGAGAACAGTGAGAACAGAGTCCTCACTGGAAAGGACTCTTGGTGGATCTCTCATTCCAATCTGTCCAATCCCGTGCCTGCTTGCCTTTTGCATTATTTATTTATTTTTTGTTGTTTTTTTATCCTCACCCAAGGACATTTTTCCATTTTTTATTCAGACAGCGGGAGGGAGAGAGAGGAAGAGAGAGAGAGAAAAAAACATCGACGTGAAAGGAACAAATCAACTGGCTGCCACCCACACGACCATCCAGGGCCGGGGACAAACTGCAACCAAAGTACGTGCCCTTAGCGGGAACCGAACCCTGATCTCTCTGGACCGCAGGCCAACGCTCTAACCGCTGAGCCAAACCGGCCAGGGAGCCTTTTGCATTTTTAAAAATATAATTAAAGTATTTTTATTTAACAAATGCTTATATCACATTTATATACCAGGCACTTTCTTCTTTTTTTATTTTTTATTTTTTTTCTTTATTGATTTTAGAGAGAGAGGAAGGGAGAGGGTGAGAGAGAGAGAAACATCGATGAGAGAGAACATCGATCGGCCGAGCGGCGTGAAGAGGAGGGAGGGTCATATGCCTGGCTGGTTGGCAGAGGCGAGGGTCTAAAGCACACCTCCCCTCCTGAGCATCCTCCGCTGGTCACCGGCTGACGATGCAAGGAGGGCGGGGCCTGAGCCAGTTCCCCAGTCACATGCGCTAGGGAGCCCTGCTCTCTCCTGCAGCACTGAGCCCCAAGCAGGTACACAGTCGTCCCTGCCACTTCGCACTTCAACTTTCCTGGCTTCACTCTATCACGTTTTTTTTCAAATATATTCATTAAAAAGTTGATCAAGACAGTGAAAATGATACAGCACGCGCTCAGTTGTCTGAGTCAATTATACACCCTGTATTACAACTAAAATTAAAATTACTGTACATATGGACTGTAAGCCTGTGTATTTGAGTGCCCCAGGAATCCTTCAACGCCAGGTGCAACCGCTGGAGTCTGGAACGGATTAACCACGATAAACAAGGGACACTGTATTCGGTTTGTTACAAAATGACACTTTGCTTGACCAGGTGATAAAGGGGAGGAGGTTCACCTTGCTCACAGCTAACTCCTGGGTGTGGGACACCTGTCCAGCCATGCATCAGTGTCTGAGTTAGTTACCTGGCCTCAGGGGCCGAGGAGATGGGTGTGGCTAACCAGACCATGTGTGAACCAATCCCAAAGGAAGAGCTTGGGAAGCCCACGGAGGGGCGTGCACTCGTGATGAAGGCCCCGTGGGACCCAGCGGGCTGGAGGTGTTTGCATGTGGTCAATGGACATGGCCCGAGGGGCACTGAATGCCGCAAAAGGAAATGATTCTTTTTCACTCTCTGGTTTTTCTAAGGCAGAGAGACGGGCACAGGGTGGAGCCAGGCATCTGGGACTCGCCTAGAATATGGGCTCTTAGGATGGGCGGGCAGAGGGAGCTGGATAATAGCACTTGTTTCTTATTTTTAACACTGTTATAGTTATTTTAGGGACAAATTAACTGTGAAATACGTGTGAGGTAAATTAAGGCACAGGTGGTGCCTGGACACGGCCACACCTGAGAAGGTGGCTCTCAGATCCTGGTCTGCAGACCTTTTTTTCTTTTTAATCCTCACCCGAGGATATTTTTTCAAGTATCTTCAGATAGAGTGGGAGGGGCAGAGAGAGAGAGAAACACTGAGGTGAGAGGGACCCATCGACTGGCTGCCTCCCACACGACCCCGACCAGGTCCAGGACCGAACCGAAACCGAGGCATGTGCCCTTGACCAGAATCGAAGCCGCTACTCTTTGGTCTGATGGCTGACTCTCTAACCTCTGAGCCAAACCGGCCAGGGCAGACCGTTTAACTTTCATCCGATTCTTCCCAAGGTTGCTGGGTCAGGAATCAAAGGCCACAAAAATAAGGTGAATTTGGAGTGAAGTCGCTGCGCTGAGCTCTTCGTGGGTCCTGAGCGTCACTCTGGGGATGCAGCAGAGCTCGGGGTCCAACTCCTGGCCCCGGCGGCAGAGCCAGCTGCAAGCTGCATCCGGACCTCCTGACCTGATGAAGACTGTGCTCCAGCTCCTGGAGAACATGTCTCCCCCCTCTCTCTCTCATTCCTGGAGTCCATGGTAAGAACCCATCCCACCTTGCAAAGGTCCGCTAGAAAATTTTGCTGACTTTTTCTTCTCATGGTTTATCCATAGCAGCAGGTTTCACAGTGAGATGGTAGGGAGAAATTTGTTTTTAAAACAGCTTTAATGAGATACAATGCACATGCCATACCATTCACCCAGGCAGCACGTACAGTTCGACGGTTTGGTATATGCACAGGCTTTGGAAGCTGCAGAACGTTTTCATCCCCTAGAAGAAACCCAGTGCCCTTTGCCCTCCCCTCCCCCTCCACCCCTACTTGACAACTCACCCACGTTGTCTCCAGAGATGTCCCTGTTCTCAGCTTCCACGTGAGTGGGACCATGTAATACGTGGACTTTTGTGATTGGCTTTTTTCATTTAGCTTAATGTCTTTTAAGGTGAGAAGTTCTCTCTCCAGGGGACTTTGTCTGACGATCACAGCACAACCACGACCCGTTCTGACCCCCACCCTTGGGGCACATCAAGTGAATGTGTCTTATCTGTCTGGGGCCCCCAAGCTGGGAAAAGCTGGGGACTCACTGGTTCCCAAGGAAGTTCTTAAAAGACAGATGTCACCAGGCCCCACCTGTCCCAGAAACATACTTTAAGTCACGCGTCACTAGAAGGGAATGTCCTCAGCACAGAGGAGGTGATTAACCCTGCGGGTTCTGTTCCCTCTGCCCCCACAGCCCTGCCCAGGAGGTGCCCAGGGCGGAAAGGTGGGCAGCTGTTTCAGGAGGGAGCCACAGAGGCCACCTGGGAGAGGTGCTGAGCTGCGGGCAGAACAGCCCTGGGGACAGGAGGCTGAACTGAGCAGAGACCCTGTTCCTGGCTAGAGGTGTGAGCAGGGCGCTGGGCACAGACACCGCTGCTGTGAGAATCCCAGGACAGGTGCACGTTAGAAGCTGTAACAGCTTCGAGGACGCCACTCCCCTGGCACAGGCGAGTCCTGCAGCACCCGCATGACGCGGCATTTGCACGTGAGCCCTGGGCCAGGCCCACTGCACCGAGTGGCCGAGGCTGCGGCAAGCGACCCGGCCCCATGGCCTCAGCTTCCTGTCTGTAAACGACAGTGGGCAGCCGTCTCCCCCCTGCCCCTGGTACACCCCGGCCGGACTACGGACGTGAGCACGGAGCTTCCAGCACCCTGCTCAGCACCACCCACACCTGCAGTAAGGCACGCTCAGGCAGGAGGCCCCGGCCCAGGGACACACAGAGGCCGCCAGTCAAATCCTGAAGGGAGAGGTGGGCTTGGCTGGTTGACCTGGCCAAAGGCTCGAGAAGTAGCTCTCCGGGGGAGGAAGAGGATGCGCCAGCCCAGAGGACGCTGAAGCAGCAGCGAGGGCGTCTGACGCGAGGGGCGGGAGTCGGGGGACATGGAGCTCGAGGGGGGGAGCCTCGAAGTGACCGGGCCGGTGGGAAGGCCTCCCAGGCCCGCACAGTTCAGCGTGAGGATTCTGCGTGAATCATCGGACCAAGCCAGGGCCTGCCCCACTCCACCCACCAAATGGGCAGAGAGCAAACAGAGAGCGAGGGCTGCACCCACACCCAGATGATAAGGCACCCTGGGCAGGGAGCAGTCACTCTGTCCCAGCAGCAGGACCCCACTGGCCAAATATTTGTCAAGAGCAAGGGGGTAGGTGAGGGTTCAAGCGTTCCCCTTCATAAAGAACACTCTGAGTGGCCCCAGCTTCCAGGAAGCAAATGCTCATAGGCCATCATCCCCCACCCCTGCCTGCACCCAGGTCCCCATCCACCACGACAGAGACGGTGCAGCTGCTGGGTGGTCTCACACAAAGGTCCCTAAGTCCCCTGGGTTGAGCTCTCTCTGGGACCCAGACCCCCGGCTGCAGAGGGGAGGTGGGACCTGGGCTAACCCTGTATGGTTCTCAGCTCTCACTCTGCATTCGCATCGCTTGAGACACCTTGAAAAAACACCAACGCCCAGTGTCTCACTTCATTGGCGAGAAGCAGTTACAGGACAAGACACAGACATCCAGGCTCTTGTCAAGGGCCTTGGGACATGTTTCTACAACAGCCCTCGCGGATGCTTTGGTAACTCCTGTCAGACAGAAGGGTGGCTCCGGCTCTAGCACCGAGCACAGCCCTCCGGTGACACCGGTCCCTACTCTGCTCCCGCTCCTGTTTGGTTCTGGGTGCAGAGTTCCCTCTCCTCTCCTCTCCTTAAGCCTCAGTCCCTGTCTTACCTTGAACATGAGCTCGTTGTCAGGTGTCCGCTGGATGCAGGGACACAGCCTCAGCGTCTATGAACGGGGGCTGAGCTGGTGGTCTGGGCCCCTACCTACTTTAGCATTTCAGGACTGGAAATCTGTTTTTAATTCAGGCTGGTTTGGGTGCTGAGCACTAACTGAGAGGTTCTTTAAGAACCAAAGGTAATGTACAAACAAGACAAAAACATTCCCAAAGACCTAAAGAGTTCGTATCTGTGGTCTACCTGACTAAACGATTTTTGTCAAAAATTTCTTCGGGAGATAGTCTTGGGGGGAGCGCTCATGTAAACTCAGAGAAGGTTCTCTTTTTCATCTGAATTAATCCACAGGACACAGGCAAGGGTGGTTAAGACTTTAGAAAAAGAATTTGAATCCCAGCTCTAGGATCCACACGCACAAATATCCGCTCCAAAACTGGTAGGGACCCAGAATTTCAAAACACATTCAAGCCCAGGCTGGTTTGATTGTGGTCAAGGGCACATACCTTGGTTGCGGTTCGATTCCAGCCCTGGCCGGGGTCATGCGGGAGGCAGCCAGCTAATGTGTCTT